CGAGGCCGGCTGCCTGCCCCTGTGGCTGCCAGCCCTTTGAAAAGCCAGCCCGCTTCCCTGATTGATTCACTTTTTAATGAATGGGGGAAGCCTGTGAACTTAAACCCTGACACCTCCACCTCCCTCCCATCCTACCTATCCCTCCAGCAACGGCTCGATTATATTTCAAGTTATTATGGGATTAATACAGCTGCCCCGGGTGCCTCTTTCCCCTGAACTTCATCAATAAAAGCTCTGTACTGCTCTTACTCTGGCTGGTCCAGCTTCTGCCTGGATCTGCCTGTGATGCCTCATAAGGCTCTATCATAGCAGCCCTTCAGTGCTGCCAACACTGCTGCTGGGTAAGGCCTGTTCATGTCATGGCCCCACATAAGCTGTGCATATTTAACAGGACGTCTTGAGCTTCGCTGTGCACTGCATCAGCTCTGTAAGTGGGCAGCACATACTTAGTACTACAGATAATAATAAAATAAGATAATCCATTAAAAAAATGCCAGTGTCATCTTGCTCGGAAACCATCACAGAGCTATGAAAAATCTTCTACATAGGCATACCTTCAGTGGAAAGAAAGAAAAGGGGGGAGCAAAGACTTGGGCCCAGCATAACCCAATTTTTCCCCCATAGTACTCCCTCATACAGTACAAGCTTTAGGCTTACTTTTGGTGTTGGCATTACAGCTTTCCTCCCCCCCCAAGAATCCCATTTTCTAAAAATGTCATTAAAAATGTAATTAACCGGCTTGTTCTTTGGAAAGTCTGCAGTTGTTTACAAAGGAATTGCCACACAAGCTGCCACCTTCAACTGTGTTGCACTAGGAAGTTATGCTCTTGTTTACAACTGTGCATCAATTCCACAATATATTTAGTTTTGGTACAAGTTACATATAAAATTCTCACTGAGCTTAATGTTGCAGCAAATAACACATACAGTAAGTGAGTAGGATTTATCACTGGCTGTAATGTCACAGTACATATTCTAAATATATACGGTGAGTGATATATGCACACACACATGCAAACAAAATGGAAATATATTTAGTTTAAGAAGTGATGAATTGTGTTTGCTTTCATTCTTCTCATTTTGCATGTAGGAAAATGGAGATCGAGCACATCCACCGAAGCGGCGGCTGGTTGGACTTGCAATCACGCTGGGGAAGGAGCAGCTCAGTGCTACCCATGGGGCGTCCCTTCAGAGGGGGCACACGTTGCAGCTGTGTGATGTGCACAGAGCTGGTGGCGCTCACTGGATGCTCCCAGAAGACAAACAGCATTGGTCCAGATCAAAGGCCTCCCACAAGAAATTCAGACTTCTTTGTTAAAGAAGTAAGTGGCAATCTTCCCCTTTCAATTCTTCTTTTCTTTTTCTTATGGTTTCTGTTGTAAATACAGAGGCCAGAAGGCCATGCTTAAAGAATTAATTTCCAAATTTGCAATATTGTTTTGAACTATAGCAATTAAATAGAAAATAATCAGTTCAGCATCCTGTTTGGATGTAATTAAAGGTATAATCTGTTCCATTTGAATACCTCAATGCTTACCCTTCTTAAAAAAACAAATAAGAATAGTAGCTCATTTGCAATGTTTTTTTTCCAACCCATCTAAAAAGACTAACTGATGAAGCAAGAATAATAATTTTTAAATGTGGCATAAGCACAGAAATATCAACTGCAGCTTTCAAATTATTGCTGCAGATCCCGAGCCTGATGAGAGCTCAATAACAAGGGGTATGAGCTTTATGGCGAAACACTGAAGTCTTCCACTATTTCCTATCAGCATCTTGATATGGCTGATATAATTACCTATCAAATACATCAGTGGAATGAATATCAGAGGATATAAAAAAATACATAAGTCGGATGCATATCGGCTCAGTCTTTTAGGGGCTGTTTGATCTCAAGGTTTTTTGTAAGAATAAAAGACCAATATGGCATTCATTGCCCTTTGTTTTCTATAAGCAGTGATGATTTTACAGCACAATAAAATTAGACTATTATTGGCTGGCTTATGAGTTCTAGCTGGATCTTTTTCCTCCTATCGGACATTTCTTCACTGCTTCTCAAAGAAATTGAAGTCAGGTGTAAAGTTAATATCTGCCCTGTTCATTTATTCTTCTGTAAGCAATCAAGATTTTCCCAAATCACAGGGCAATCTCTTGCCTTTTGAGAAGGAATATAGGCCCTATTCGCTCCATTTAGTTTAACAAAACAACTGGCAGAAGTTCAATGGAACCGATGATTATTCCGAGAGGTTACGGCAAACCACTGACGTTGTTAGCAAAAGGCTCGCATGTAAGATTCCCTAAGAGGAAAAGTGCGTGGATATTTCAAGTAATTAACAGTGAATTGCAACAGTGTGAAAAATAAGCAGTGGCTGTACCGGCTGCACAGGAACCCGGCTGCATGACGTGGGCACTTTGGTGGCCACTGCTCCCTTAAAAGCAGCACGGGACAGGGCCAGCGGTGGTGGTGATGATGAGGAATGTCAGGACTGGCCCCATCCATGCACGTTCCTCGTGTGTTGCTGCTTTTGCTATTGGACGCAGTTAGGCATATAGAAGTGACCAAGCATCCTATGAAGCAAAACAGTTTTTATTATTTTCTTAACCGGTAAGAAAAGTCAGAATTTCAAACTCGGTGTTTGTCAGCTGAGGCGTACTTCTAACAAGGCAGGCAGAAGACTTACACTGATAAATTGACTGTCAAAACACAGGAGCAAAGGGTAAAAAGTAGCACAGTGCTCTGGGAGACCTGTTTAGCCAGTCAACAGGAGAGAAGTTTAAGCTCAAAGTTTTAGGGGTTACTAAAATTCCTGGCCTTTTGGGTGTGTGTGCCTTGCCTCTGAAGCTCCTGGTCCCTTGCACAGCCCATCCTGCAGTGCTGGGGATCCCAGGGCAGCTTTCCTCCAGCCAGCCCTGCCTGGCAGAGCCTCGGCCCTCCCTTCTCTACAGTTATGGTTTTCACACAGCAGTAATGAGAAGATCCATTTAATAAAATAACAATAAAAAATGCAGCCCTCATAGTGCCAGGCTGTGGTTCGTCCTTTAGCAGCAGCCAGAGGCAAGCAGGAGCGGGGGAGCAGCATGTGCCACCAAGACAGGCAAGGGCAAAACACACAGCTATGGCTCCCGAGCCCATCGAGGCGAACATCCTGCCTGCACACCAAGAGCGTTTTTGTGGATGTAACTAAAGGAAACACAACAACAGAACCTGGCTTGTTAAAAAATACCCACAGAGGGGGAGAGAAAAAATAAAAATCCTCAACACAGCCTCGTCTGTCTCCAGCAAACAGGGCTTTTTTCAGGCCCTGGGCTCAGGCGTGGGCCCAAGCCCCTGCGGGTGGTGTTATTGGCTGACGGCCTTCCTGGCTGCATAGAGGCTGAAGCGCGGTCCTCTCCCTGCCCTCAGCACCGACCGCCCCACAGCCCTCATGCCTCCCTGCTGCCACCCAGCCCACAGCCCCGCGGATGGCACACGGCTGTGTGACGGGGCCAGCCCCCCAAGGAACATCTCTGACACCGCAAAACAAGCAGCGCTTATCTCATGCATGCCACAGGTGTGATGTCATCCCCTCTGGCGAAGGAACGAGGATGTCTACAGCCTCCACCGTGCAAAAACACAGGAACTGAAGTTAATGTGCCTCAGACTTTGTTAAAATATGGTGATAATTAAGAAATATAATTACCACTACGAAGTTAATGCCTCTCTGAGTTCTTACAAACAACTTTTTAATTTGCAGTGAGCATTTACATTGCAGATGCACAGTCAGCTGGGTGTGAGGCCGGCAGTGCTGCAGTCCATGTGCCACGGCCCACCTGGAGGGCAGGCGTGCTGAGGAGCCCTGTCAGACACACACTGCGTTCTATTAAGAAAAGAAAAGAAAGGAAAAAACTTACGAGGTAATTGATTGCTTTCTTCTAGTCTTTTATTAGTTGTGATTAAGGAGCTACAGTAGCCCTGTTTACACATCTCCAACAAGTCAGGACCTGCAGCACATCATTGGCTTGCGGCCCACAACGCGCAGTCCGTTCTCTGCAGCAGCGAAGTGGAACGGCCCTGCAGGAAGCGCGCATCCCTGCTCACATGGGGCAGGAGCAGCAGTAACGCTGCAGGCCCAGGGCTCAGCCCCGACTTGCCGCTGCCCTGGGCACGCTCTGCGAGCAGGACACGGGGCCCAGGCAGGGACACAGCGAGCTCACTGCTGCTCACAGCTCACGGACCGAACCGAGCTCCTCGCTGCTTAACATGCAGGCAAAGCACTGCCAATCTAAAATGGCTGATCAGTAATACTTTAATTGCAGTTTCATAGAAACAAATTGCTATTTAATTGCAGTGAGCTCTTCTGTGGCTTCGCTGGACTGACAACAGGCGTACACCTGGTACTGAAAAGCAACAACAAAGGCTCCCTGGTACTTCACGTACTGCAGGCACGGGAAGTGAAACCGGTCCTGGAACACGTCTCAAGCTGAAGAAACACAATACTTTGAAGGTATTTGACATATGTGTCCTGATCTCAATTTCAATTATTTCAACAGAGCTGTTCAGAACACGGGTAACTTGCACAAGGCCTGACACCTGATCCTGGCCGAAGAATTTGGTAAAAAAATAAAATTAAAACGCTCTTTTGAAATGCTTGGTAGCAACTCATACTACAGTAGTATCTGATTTATTTTATTTACTGTATTTCTCCTAGAATTAGATGATGCAAATTTTATCAGTGTTAACTAACAGGGAGGAAGGGAGACAAACTCAGTGTGGTTAATATTCTCAAGATGTGACTTAATTTCATAGGCTTCATTCTGGTAAGACATTCTCATTTTACATTTCGTAAGATACTGCATAACCTGTTAAAATATTTAAAGATAAATCATGTTGGACTGAAAAGACAGTATCTTGTTGCAAACAGAATTTGGTTTGGAAAGGCTTAATGTCCCACTGCCTGCCAGGATGCGTAAATCTCATAACTAGACAGCTGGATAGGTAAAAACATTAAACCCATTTAGAGGGCAATCTTTTTACAAAATTGTTTCATTAATAAGAGTGACAATTTATATGATTGAGACGCTTAGATGCAGTATAGACAGAGCCTTTTATCCAGGTTCACTAGGATGATTTCAGATTAGTAATATTTCCTTTGATTTTTTTAACAGCATTCATTTTTGAAAGTGAGGGAAGCTCTTACTGATTATTTGTATGACTTTTCAGCAGCACTAAATGCAGGGGGTGTATTTCAGACTCAGCATAGCAAATGCATGTGATAAAAGGTGAACAAGTACACGTTTCCTTTTACAGATCTCCTAAAAAAATTGATTTTTCACATAAGGACAAATCTAAGTGTTTCCAGTAGCCTTCCCCCCAGCGTCCCCATTAGAGGCTGTTTTATTGTCTGAAATACCTCTGGTTTCAAGAAAGTGTTTTACCTAAAGGAAGAATACTACTTAAATATGTTCTATTGTATATTCATAGCTCCATTAGTCCTCCTCCAATTTAGCACATCAAAGCAAAGGCTTCATCACTTGCATGTGGATTATGCTAACATGAGTGACATTTGTAATCTTATAGGTCTGCAACTTAAGAAATGCTTTTAAAGTAAGCTATTAAAAAGGTAGCTGCGCTTTACAAACGAGTCATATAATAGTTTATTTAAAGCCGTTAATGAACTTCAACCTCTACATCACTAAACGCTATACTACATTACTTACTAGAAGTTATTAGGTATCTTCTTAGCACTTCTAGGTTACATTGGACAACCGAAAATCTGCACGTTAGATTTAACCGTGGTACCTTGAGTGCTTATACTGGAATAATTACAGGATGCCTACAGACTCACTGATACTTGAATTCCACAGTTGTATGATTTCGAGTGTCTTTTCAAAGACGTTCCAGCCACACAATTTGCAAAACTCTTACCTAAAGACTGTAATGCGAGATCAAAAAGCTTAGAAACTTATTTTTAAAAATACATAAGTGCATTTAATTAAAAAAGTCATACACAGCTTCATATCGCTTTATATGATAAGTATTCTGTTATCTTTACTGTCTGTCACCGTATGTTGTATCTTTTTCTTTTCTCTTCAACAGTCCTATTTTTGCCAAGGCAATGAAGTGCTGAAGGAAGAAATCCAAGAGACCTCAGCACACTAGGCCAAGAAGTAGAATCTGAAACAAAATGTATCTGCTACTGGTTGTTCAGACAGACAAATCTACAAATCTGATTCTTATGCACCAGCGTCACAACGAAAGTAAGCGAAGCTCACTCCATAACCAAACAAGCTACGCCTTCTTGAAAACAGAATTTAAAAAGAGAACATAATCACACTGCATTTCAAATGCATTATTCTCCGATAGAAGTCAAACAGCTGGTAATGCTGATTTGCTCTGAGTTGCAGCAGAGGCACCTTCTGGGTGCCCGCAGTTCCCTGACTGAAGGCATACAGTGCATCACAGATTCATGTTACTGTTCTTGCTATAAGTATGAAAAATGAGGATTTTTTTCTCAGAGTTGGTCTGCACATACCCTAAAGGAAAGGCCCACTGAACAAAGCTGCCCTCTTTCTAAGCTTAGAGAAAGTTTTCTTACTTTGGAGGGCGTTGTTTTTTTGTTTCCTTCCAGAGAGCAAACCATAGCTGCCATCAGTTTGTTCTTGGAAGTAGCCCAGGAAGCTCGCTTTTCTTTCCTTCAGATTATTAGTTTTAAAAGTTTCTTGCACAGCAAATTCCAGTTTATTTTTATTCAGATCAGAACAGCTATTGTATTCCTCTCTATGAACGCTCAATTCTAGTGCTCCGCATGAGGTACACACCTTCTTTGCTTTTATTGTTATTTCTGGATCTCTTGAAGTGTGTTCATACACCCTCATGCTTGCACACTCACAGACACACGCATACATCTAACATGGGCAGTTTTGCAGGGAGGAGCCAGATAGAAAGAGACCACAATACCTATAACGTGTACCACACTTAACCACAATCTGAACTGTCTTGCATTTGCTGTTATTAGAAGCAAGAATCTCAATGAAAACTAATGATCACTTTGAAGCAGCGCCTCCCTGTATCCACACCAAAATTAACATGGTAGTTTAACAGGTTCTTTAGTGGCATAAGACAAAACAGAAAAGGAACCCACCAAAAACCTCCAAACCAAAACCTTATTTTTAAAGGAAACTGACAATTAAGGCAATGACTTTGTTTCAGAGCACTATTTTGAGTGTAGTTTTGTTGTTTGTTTGTTTGTTTTTTTTCAAGAAAAAAACAGCAACGTTTCTAAAACCCAAACTCAATTCAATGGTTTTTGTTTTACTTTTTATTATTTAAATACACCATACTAGAGCAAATGTCTCTGAAAATATCACAAATAAAAGATTTTTCTTCATTCAGCAAATTAGAAGTAGGTGAAAATTTCTACACAGTAGCTGCTATGAGCCTGACTTTTTTTTTCCTTTTTCTCCTTTTTTTTTTTTTTGCCATGGGAAGTAGCAACATTAGGACAAAAACACTTACATGCATACATACATTGTATTTTACAGAGATACAATAAAAGTGTTTGTGATAGAATATCACAAAAGCCACATCTTTCCTTTATCTCATGTTCAGTTTGATTGAAACACATTTCCTTACAACACTTAAATATACAAAGAGCAAATAGAATGTTGTTAAGGTAAAATACAGGGTACAAACTGGCTAGTGCCCTGCTAATTGTTAATGAGGGTAGAAAGCAGATTTCAATGCTTCTTTTAATTAGCTTCATTAGTCATCTTCCCCACCCACCCCCCCAAAGATGTCCTCCGGTGGATCTTTTTTCATTTTCTCTACAGTCTCCCATTAGCCCAGGTTCATGGAGTCCTTAATGTTCATATTCAGTCATTTTAATACACCAATAAATGTGGGAAGGGCAATCAAGAATAAAGAAGGTGCAATGGTATGGAGCTGGCACTGATGCTAGCTACAAAGGTGACTTGTCTACTTGGAGACATGGGATCCATCTGTGATGAACAAAATTTGAGATGAAGGCACGCATTCTGCAATACTCTGACCTTTTAGCAGACCTGCAAGAAATAAAAATGGGTATCTTAGCTAGAATACTAAATTTGAGATAGGAAACTACAACATGACTGCTTTTGTCTTTTCCTTATTCACTAATCTCTTTTTTATTAGATTACTTTCCAACTGTGACTTTCTACACTATCCATTCACAGTGCTAACGTTTCAACTTCAAATAGCAAAAAGCAAGCATTTTCTGCAGTATCACTACTAAGAAGAACAGACAGTAAAGAATAAAGAGAGACGACAACAATAAATGAGTGTACTTTCTGGTAGCAAATGGTACGGTGAATAAGGTGGCCCCTTTTTAAAAGGGAAGAAACATTATGCCATGCCTTTGAAGAAGTCAGTAATGTGATCTTATAATTGGAAGAAATAGCGTGTAAAGCAAATAAAAAGTACAGCCAATATCCTCCCAAGGCAACTTTGGTTAATATGCTGCATTGCATAAGAGCTAAATATAGATATTTCAGGATTTTTCCCCCCCATTTGAAATTCCTCATCTGGTGTGTTAGTTAATGTTACATAAACATTTTAATATATGAAGTCAAACATGTGCTCTCACACTGGTGTTAATGAATTGTGATAATTAGAAGTGTCTAAGTCGATAAAAATCTAAACTTTCCGGGACAAAATAGAAATGATCATCCATAGTCTTCAAATACAATCTGTTTGCAATTACCAAAATGAAATAATATATATGAGAATTTTATGGTTTTTAAATGGCATTTTGTGCTTCCCAGGAAGTTCTTTTTCCACCCTCTCTCTAAGTTACTAAAAGCCTGAGGTCTATTAGTAACTGCAACCCCCCACTTTCAAGCTAATTAAAGTAGTAGAGGCTTGGAGGTTTAATTCCCCAGAGCTGAAGCTCAGTGTGAGAAAGGTAATTTGTCTGTCCAGAACAAAGATTAGGGAGCAGCCAGCAAGCATATTTAATAAATGAGCATCAAATATCTTCTACTATGGACACAGACAACACCAATTATGTAACTACAAGGGAATTGTTGAGTGATATGTAAACTAGAAGATTTTTCAGATCTTCTCTGAGAGATGTAATCTAACTCATACTTTATTTAAAAGTATAGGAGCTGAAGACAAGCGTTCGCTATGAACGCTGCCAGCCAGAGGAGAATTTACACTTATAGCAGGTGGTAAGGTTGTTAGCAAACAAGAGATGCTACAGGAATACTGCCACTGTCAGAAATGCAGAGACAGTTCTCTGTGGAGGATGATACGACCCCGGCAAATAAAATGGCCCCCAGGACGTCAGCCAGCATTGAGGACTGCGTTGTGCCGGCAAGCAGAGGTGAAATAGTGTTGTGGTGTTTGATTTTTTCCAAGCAAGCGATGAGAAACTACAATTTCCACGTGTGGATCAGATCAGGGAGGCAAAAGGCACGAACAGCAAACATTACTGCTTCGCCTCCTTAAAAAGAAAATCAAGTGCTGAAAGTTAGGCTGTGCAACCTTTTCTGCCTGCACCCATCACCAATAAATATACAGTTTACAAGTTAATATGAAGACAATCCTAAGTATGTAACTGCCACCTTCACAAACACAACAAAAATGTGTTTTATTGCAAGGAGTACGTCTCAATCTCTTCAGCTTAATGAAAAAAAAACCACCACCCTGTGATTATTCTGCTGTGTCCATAATCTCTAGTGGCAGAATAACCTGGAGACTGATTGATCTTTAATGTTTAATAAAGAGGATCTGTTACAGCCAACTCCGTCATAGTGGAAGAACATTTTTAATTACTGGCCCTAAAACATGCGGCTTTCTGGAAAGCATCTGCGATGTTTACATCTTCAGATTGTTAAAAAGCTAACACACGAAACACAATCTTTGCCACCTGCCCCTGCAGCTTCCATAACTGCAGACACCTGACAAACCTATGAATTACCAACTTGTCTCCTTGACTGTAATCCAGTTTTCTGAAATTCAGACGCTCCACAGCTCCCCTTGGAAAACCGGTAGTGGAACTTGGACCATTTCCTAGAGAGACTACATTATAAAAACAAAACAACCCTATCATTTCTCTCTCCAGTCTTCCCCAGTACCTCTTTGCCTCATCCTTGACCGCAGCAACGTGGTAAGTAGTGACAGAACTAATAAAAACCTGTTCTCAGTATCGCCTCTGCATTAGCTTCTACCGGGAGGCTTCAGCTATGAGCTCTGCAGGCCCAGCCCCACTTTACTCTTTTCCACATTCTGTGTTCCTCATCATGTCTACTGCTTTTATTCTAACTAAATCATTTTTGTGTTTTACTAACGCATAGTAAGAAACTGATAAAGCTAAACGGCAATTTAGACACCTACTTGAAGTTACATTAAACTTTACATTCGCAGTAGACAAGTGGATAAACCACGCTCTCAGAATGGTAAAGCTTTTACTGCAGCATATAAAGATGAATGGTTTTACCCTGTATTTTGAAATGGGACACCTACAAATATTCACCTAACAGAGTCACTGTTAGCTATGCTGTACCACAGACTTGTGTCATTAAAATTCACAACAGTATAAATCCACGAATCTTTAACTGTAGTTGTACCTCCTCGAGAAGAGGCCACGCCATTCTCCTCCAATCTTCATTATCTTCATTCTGCCCAACTATGTAGGACTTTTGTACTCAACTCTCTCATCACCTCAATTGACAAATTAGGCAAATAAAAAAGCCCACATCTCATTTTGATGTAATTACACTCACTGCATAAGACTTGAAATAATGCTTAAAATTAATCAGCAAATTTTTGCACAGAAAAAGAAGCAAACGTGGATATTGAACTGCAGCAACACAACAAGAAAAACACAGGACTTTTTAAACCAGTTTGTGTCTTCCTGTGTAGATTTCTCCACTAAGTGGAAGTGCTACCAATTATTCCGCACGTGACAGAATAGGTAAGCCTAGCATTTGTCCCAGGTTTTTTCATCTTCAAAATTCCTATTTGCAGATAAATGTTATTTTTTGTGATCCTTACAGACATTAATGAAGTTCCTATTGTAAATCTATAAAGAATTACCAACTGAAGTGTGCACTTTTTGTTTCATTGCAATAACTCAGTGCTGTGTGATTGCCTGGGTTAATGATGAAAAAGTCAAATATACTATCAGAGCTGATGGAAAAATCTATCACCAATCTGAAATTAAAATTCATCTGTGGTCAATAAGATTTAATATCCATGCAAGTGGCGCTGTAAAGAGTAAATGAATCAATGTCATCAATACATAATCAGTATGAAATATGATGTGAATAAAATTATGTGCAAGAGTCATACATTCACTCTTTTCTGGACCAGGGTGGAATGAACAGTCTCTTAACTCAAGGTTGACAGTAATTGTTACAAATTAGGCACAGCAGTTATCAAAATGCACTCACTTGCATAGCTTTAGGACTTATTAAGGAGATTAAAATAGATCTAAAACTACCTCGTTTCAGAGTTACGGGACAACTGTTGATCAGAATTTTTTTTCTTCTTCTCTATATGATCCGTGCAGTCATTATTTACTCATTTAGGCACAAACCAAGAGCCATCAGCCACAGAGATACACGATCTCTAGCTGAGCTATTGTTGTTAGGAGCGATAAGAAAATAGCACTTTAGTTTTTAAATCTCAGTTATGACATAGAAAACAGACGAGAAAATACTTCTGAAAGAGCTCCCCAGCATGCCTCCTCAACTGCAACCTTACACTGCTTTAGCTCAGGAATCTTCTCTTCACAAAACGTTTATTTCCATATTAAAGGATGTAATTTTCCTCCCACAGAAACCTGCTCTCTTGTAGCCCTTAATTTCAAGACTGTAAAATAAAATGCTCCTCTTTGTTAAGTTTATGTTAACGTCTGCTCTCCATTCCACTTTGTACGTGAAGAGTTCAACAGCTGCACAGATACACATGCCCAAACCAAAATAAACGGACTCACTCTATATGTCATACTTAAAGGTTAGCACTTCCTCCCCATCCCCCACGCCTACGTTACTTAAGTTGGGTTACTTAAAGGTCTTGTTGCAGGGGTGGGAAATGTCCACTATTAAACTGAAAATAAATTGATCTTCATTTAGCTCTAATAACGCTTATTAGTAATTGTGGAGTATTCACCTTCTGGTCTGGCAGTAGTGGGTTACTCTGAAGTGAATTCAAATGGCCATTGATGAGAGCTGTAGGTCTATCATGTTCACAAAATAAACTGCCATTGATGTAGTGAAACCGATCTCCCGGGACCAGGCGATTCCGGCAGGTAGAGCATGTAAAACACTGAGAAAGGAAAGAGACAGCAAGTGAAACTACAGCACAAATTAAGTATGCTGCAGGTTTGAAAATTACACTTCAGAGACTGTGAGCACAGATGAGATATGAAGCTGCTTGATTTCTAGCATCTCCGAACATGGCATTAGCCTTACCTGTTGGGACCACGCAGTTCATAACTCAAGTATAGTTCTACCGATTATGAGGGAACAAAGCTGCA